AACCTACTTTTACTAACTTTAAATGCTGTTTTCTTTTAAGTATATATTAAATTAACTACTTATATAATATAGTTAATAATATAGTATTTTAGATTTCTTTACTAGTAGCTTATATAATTTTATTAAAATATATATTAATTATCTTGCTTATTTTACTTTTACTAAACAGCATATGACTTTTACTTATGCTTATAGATAGATTAACCCCCTTACCACTTATATATTAATACTTCTTATATTAGTGCCTTTATTTTAAAACACTCCTACTTAATAATATAAGAATATAAAATAAGTCCTACTAGTCCTGTATTTCTTAAAGAGGTAATAGATTTAATATAGCTCTTACTAACTTAATATATTAATATTATTAAGAGATAACTAGTTTATAAACTAAGGCATTTTTTAAACTTCTTTAATTATAATTTCTATATTAGTGATTTTCCTTAAACCTAAGGCTTTATAAAACTTTATAAAGTAATCTTTTCTTAATAGCTTAATTAATTTATTAGCTACTATCTTATTTATAAGAATATATTCTAGCTTAACTTCTTTTTTATTAACTTTTTTATAAATAAAGTAGTGCTAAGTCTTAATATACTTTAATCCCTTATAGTTTATAAGATTCTTTTATAAGTATAATTGCTCTTTAATTATTATAGTATATAATTATAGCATTTAGCAAGGCCTTAGCTAACTTTAATAGTTTAAAAGACTTTAATAACTTTAATAATACTTCTTTTATATAGTCCTCTTAAAGATTAGTATATAACTTAGTAAAAAGCCTTTATAGCTAGATTGCTTTCTTTATAGTATTTATTTAGGCTATATATTTAGCTTTATAGCTAAATAGTATAATAGTTACTTACTATTTAAATAACTAACTGATTTTACTACTGCTAATATTAAATATATAGCTAAAGGTTAATTTATAAGTATTATAGTTATTAGCCTAGTTTAAGTTACTATAGCTATATAATAGCTTTAGATTTTTATAAAATAGAAGGTAAAGGTCTTTTATACCTTAAATATATTTTAGGATATGCTTTATAGCTTACTTATGCATATTATCTAGATTACTAAAGTAGTAATTAATAATTAAGACTGCATAAGTAAGGTTAGGCCTTATGCCTAGTATAGAATATATTAATAAGCTTATTATAGACTAATATTCTTTTCTTTTATTAGGCTAATTAAGATAGCTGCTTTCTGCTTTTTATAACCTTTTTTTAACTATTAGGGTTAGTATTATTATATAGTTTATTATATTATATTAATAAAGGATTTTTTTTAAATATATTTCTACTAACTAAGGATAATTATTTAAGCTATTTAATTTTAATAAATTAATATTTTTAAGTAGTAGTAGTAGGGTTTTAAATTAATTATAAAGAACTGCTAATATAAAGACTTTTTAAGTTTTATAATTTTTTATTATTCTTTTTTATTAGTAATAGATTATTTATATAAATAGTAATAAAAATGCCCTTTTTTATATAAAGATTATTATTTATAAATACTATATAAAAACCTAAGGTAAAAAGGAAATTAATAAGTGTTTTATATTAAACTTATAAAGCTTACTTTAAATTATAAAAAGCCTTTTTAAGCTTATAAACTTGCTTTATGCTATTTTTAAAGCCTATTAGTTATTTAATATAAATATCCTCTTTAACTTGCTTATATAAGAATGCTATTTTAATATCTATTTACTTAATTTCTAGATCCAGGGTAATAGCTATTATAAAAAGGGCCTTATAGATTATAGGTTTAATAATAAAAGTAAAGGTTTTTATATAATTAATACTAGTAATTTACTTAAAGCCTTTAATAACCTAGCATGCCTTATACTTAATAACCTAATTATTAAAACCTTTTTTTAACTTATACACCTACTTACCTTATGGGATATTTATTCTTAAATTAGAATTAATTAAGTCCTAGGTATTATTTTCTTAAAAGGCTTATATCTTATTTACTACTTAGGGGGTCTAGAAGTCGACCACTTCCTGCGTTAGTATAGCTAGACATAAGGGAGACAGTAATTAGGAAAAAGGGATGTTAATTCAGAAAATGGGTCTAGTACCTGGCCTTATATATAATTTCATATAAAAGCTAAGGTAGCGTTTTTAGCGCAGGGTAAATATCTTCTTAAACGAATTATATAATAAAAGGTTAGTACCTCTAGCTGTATGCACCTTGCACTAAAAATCAGATACAGTTTTTTTTCTAAATTAACGTCCTATTTTCCTAATTAACAGGCCCCCTATGTCTAGCTGTGCTGCTATAGGAAGTGGTCGACTTTAAGACCCCCCTAGTATCCCCTTATACTATTTATTATAAAAAAAGCTATATTTAGCTTCCTTAAATATTATTAATTTAATATTATTAATAAGTAACTTAGCTAAGGCTATAAAGGCTAGTATATTATATAATAAGAACTGGCTTTATAATAAATAGTAAAGTTCTAAGTAACCTAAGACTTTATCTTATATTTTTATATATTTTTATATAGTTTATAAAAAAGCCTAAGGTTATAAAGGTATTATATTAATTATAAATAAAACTAAGCTTATCTTCTAATAATATTTCTGAAAGAGTAGCTAGCTATTAGTCTAGGTTTTAATAAAGCAAGTAGTTATAATTATAAATAAGATAATATTTAATTTAAAGTATATATTTAAAAAGCTAATAACTTTTTTACTAGGTATTAATAGCTTATATATGCTATTTTTTATAAAGCTAAGGAGGATATATTTAATCCTTTTATTATCTAGTTTCTTTTACTATACTTATAAAATAAGGTGCTATATTATAATACTAATTATCTTAATATTTAAAACGTTTAGTTATTACTTTAGAATATATTTAAAAGGCGTTTTATTTAAAGCTTTATATAGGCTTTAATTTTATAAATAGTTAAGTATTTTAGTAAATTCCCCTTTATAAAGGTTAAAAGGAGTTTATTATAAATCATAATATTAAAGTTTTCAATAATACTATTTACTTAATATTACTTAGTTAATAATATCTTAATAATAAATCTATACTATATAGCCTAGTGTTTAAGTTTATAGCTATTAAACTTCTTAGTGCTGTTTAAGTAAATTATGCAGTATTACTGCTCTTATAGCTCTTATCCTTTAAGAAACTATATAAAGAATTATATAAACCTGCAGGCGCCTTATCTATTTTTAATAGCCTTACTTCTGCTAAACCTGCTATAGCTATTAACTAGTATAATTTAGTATTACTTTTTATTATAGCTAGTAATATAAAACAGGCTATATATATTAATATAAATAATATTAAAGATATATTTAGCTTTTTTTATTATCCTTAATATAGCTTTTTTTATATTTAGCTTTATAAGTATAGCTTATAAAGATAGTATTCTTATATAATATTTATCCTATTAACTATTTCTTTTAGTCTAGTTAGGTTATTACTATTAAAATAACGTATGCAGTTATGCTACTAGGGGGGTCTTAAAAGCAACCACTTACTATAATAGCATAGCTAGATATAAGGGGCATATTAACTAGGAAAAATAGTTATTAATTTAAAAAGAAATTAATACCTAATATTATATAAAAAAATATATAGCAGTAAGGTAGCCTTTTTAGCATAAGGCAGTTATCTTACTAACCTAGTTATATAAGAAAATAGAGATACCTCTGCTTATATATACCCCTTATTAAAAAATAAGTCTTAAAATTTTTCTTAATTAATAACTATTTTTCCTAGTTAGCATGCCCCTTATATCTAGTTATGCTGTTATAGTAAGTAGTTGCTTTTAAGATTCCCTTAGTAAAGGCATAGCTAGGGATTAACTGCATATAAGATAAGGGCTAGAGTTAGGACTTAAGTTACTATATAAGAGATAAAGGCTTATATAAGGAGAGAGTTAGTTTAAAGAATAAATAAATTATTATAGCGTTTTATTATAATCTTAATTTTATCTTTTTAGATTATTTAATAATCTTAGGCTACCTTTATTATCCCTTTTAAATTAAGGAGCTAGGTTACTAATATTAGGTTTAGAATAAGCTTTAAGGTAAAGAGTATATTTATAAAGGTTAGTATAACTAACTAGGTCTAGCTAGTATATTATTAAATAACTATACTAATGCCTTTTATTATAATTTTTAAATCTCTTATTTTATTAAGTATACTGCTATATAGATAAAGGGATTTTAAAGTAAATTATTCTTTTTAGTATATAGTATATTATTTATAGCCTAAGTCTAATACTTATATAGTATTAAGGCTATAGTAAGCTATTCTAGTCTTTTAAAAGGTAATAAAGAAGTTATTATTTATTTTTAAATCTTTTAAGGTAAGTAAGGCTAAGGCCTTTTTATTTACTAACTTTATAGTTATATTTAAGCTAGACTAATAAGCTTAGCAGCCTTTATAATCTTTTTAGTATTTTTTTTTAAGATATAGTTTTTAGCAGCTGTCTTTTATATAATATATTTTATTATAATAAGTATATTATAATACTTTAATTATTATTAAGTTATTATTATTTATTAATGCTATATATTTTTATATTAATAGCGCTTATATTATTATACTGCTTTTTTACCTAACCTCCTTAGCTTTTATACTTTAAATAATACTATTTAATATTAAGAAAGTCTTAATACTATAATTTATCTAAAAGCTAGTGCACTAAATAAAGTACTAATTACTTAATTTATTATTAAAATATATATTAATTATCTTACTTATCCTCCTATAGCTAAATAGGATTATAGCTCTTACTTATATTTATAACTAGATTAACCCCTTACTAGCCTATATATTAATACTTCTTATATTAATGCCCCTTTTTCTAATACTCTTACTTAATAATATAAGATTATAAGGTATATTCCTCTTATTAACCTTATGCTTTTTAAAAAGGTCTTAGGTTTATATTTACTCTTATTAACTTAATGCTATTAATATTATTAAAGACTCCTTAATCTAACTATTTAGTATAACTAAGAGGAACCTTAAGCTTCTTTACTAGTATTTTTTATATTAATAATCTTCTTTAGTCTTAGGGCTTTATAGAATTTTATAAAGTAATCTTTTTTTAGCAGCTTAGTTAATTTATTAGCTACTATTTTAGCTATAGGTATATACTTAAGTTTAACTTCCTTACTATTAACTTTTTTATAAATAAAGTGGTATTAAGTCTTAATATATTTTAAGCCTTTATAATTTATAAGGTTTTTTATAAGTGTAATTACTCCCTAGTTATTATAATAAATAACCACTGCCCTTAGCAAAATCTTAAAGGATATTAATAATAACTTCTCTGCTATTAGCAATCTCTCTGCTATTAGTAATCTCTTTACTATTAATAATAGTCTCTTTACATTCTCCCCCTAAAGGTTAGTTTATAATTCTATAAATAACCTTTAAAACCAGATTACCTCCTTAATTGCATTTATTTAACCTATATATTTAGCTTTATAGCTTAAAAGTGTAGTTATTATTTATCTTTTTAATAGCTAGCTAATCTTACTGCTGCTAATATTAAATATATAGCTAGAGGTTAACCTATAAGTATTTAGGTTATTAGCTTAGTTAAAATTACTATAGCTATATAGTAGTTATAGGTCTTTATAAAAGACTAGGCATAGGTCTTTAATGCCTTAAATATACCTAAGGATTTACTTTATAGCTTATTTATATAACTTATTAAGATTACTAGTATAGCAGCTAATAACTAAGACTATATAAGTAAGATCTAGTTATATTTTAAGCATTAGATATATTAATAATTTAACTATTAACTAGTATTCCTTTTTCTCTTTTAGCTAATTAGTATCTCTTTTAGCTTTTATAATCTTTTTTTAACTTCTAGTATTAAGACTAGTATATAATTTAATATATTATATTACTAGAAGATTTTCTAAATATAGCCTTATTAGTTAAGGATTATTATATATACTAGCCTATTCTATTAAATATAAATTCTAAAGTAGTAGTAATAAGGCCTTAGGTTAGTTATAAAGAAATATTAATATAAGGCATTTTTAAGTTTTATAATCTTAATCTTATCTTTATTAATAAGTAAGAGATTATTTATATAAATAGTAAAGAAGATGCTATTTTTTATATAAAGACTGCTATTTACTAAAACTATATAAAAGCTAAGGGTAAGGAGGAAATTAATAAGCGTTTTATACTAAACTTATAAAGCTTGCTTTAAACTATATAGTGCTTTTTTTAAACTTATAGACTCTCCTAGTGCTATTATTAAACCTAGTTAGTTACTTAATATAAATATCTTTATCTACCTTATTATATAAAAAGGCTGTTTTAATATCTATTTATTTAATTTCTAGGTCTAGGGCTATAGCTATTATAAATAAAGCTTTATAAGTTATTAGCTTAACTATAAAGGTAAATATCTTAATATAGTTAATATTAGCAATCTATTTAAATCTATATATAACCTAGTAAGCCTTATACTTAATAACTTAATTATCTAGCCCTTTTTTTAACTTATAAACCTATTTTCCTTATAAGATATTTATACTTAGGTTAGGATTAACTAGTTTTTAAGTGTTATTATTTTAAAAGGCTTATATTTTATTAATTATCCCCCTTTACTACTTATCCTTAAAAAAGCTATAAACAGCTTCTTTATATAAAGTTAGCTTAATATTATTAATATATAACTTAGCTAATACTATAAGAGTAAGGATACTATATAATAAGCACTAGCTATAAAGCAGATATTAAAGTTTTAAATGCTTTAAGACCTTATTATTCTAGACTTTTATTAAAAATAGGGGCACCTATATAGGAAGTACTAGTATAAGAGGTCACAGGGGTTTAGCCATCTGCAAAGCATAAGTAAGAGCAATAGTCCTGCCTAAATGTGTTAAGATTAGTAGAGATAATATAAGCCATTTAATATATATTTTAATAAGTTATAAGCCTAGCTTCTGCTAAATTACTAAGAAAACAATAAGTACTAATACTCTAAGTGGCTAATAACTAATCTCGCTTGCCTATGCAGTGTCTTAAAGGACACTGCTTATATAACTTCAGGATAACAGACAGGCACCACTTAACTAACCTAGAAAGGCCAAGGGCTGGCTGCTAACTAAGATAGCTAAGATTATTATTATTAAATAATTTAATCACTAGACTAAGTTATAATTACTAGTAACCTTTAGGTGGCTAGGGGAGCTAGGAAGTCTAGGATAAAAAAGATAACAGCAGCTTAAACACTAGAAAAAGACTAACCCTTAGGCTAATAAATAAGGACTTTAGAGATAATAAAATAATAATAATCCTATTACCTCTTAGTAATATAAACATATATAGCTATAAAGTAAGAACACTACTATAAGTCCTAAATTAATAACTAATACAAAATATAGCATAATAATAAAGCAACCTTAAAAAGAGTATTATAGTTAATAAGTTAATAAGCCTTAAGATTAAACCTATTACTATAAATGCCCTAAGTCTTTACTTACTGCTAACTCTAAAGAAATATAAGGACTACCTCCTATAAGAATATTAGCTAAGGCTTATTATTAACCTTATTAAAGCTAAGGGCTTATTAACTATATATAATATAGAAGATAAAGTGCTTAAAAGCTAGATTAGCGCATAAAGAAGTAAATAATAATAATATATTAGCATTTTAAAAATAACACTCTCTATCTTGCTAAGTAAGATAATAGCTAAAAAGATAATAGTATAGAAGGTTTTTTAATAAGTAAAAGTAAAATTCTAAAAGTCTAGCCTTAAAGCACTATAAATAGTATATAAAGAGTAGGAGGACTGTATATTTAGCTCCTTAAATACAGTTAAGGAGTTTGCCTAAAAGATTAAGACTATTTAAGAAAAGTTCTTTTAAGTTAAAAGTTAATATAAGCTATTAAACAGCTACCTAATCCTTAAGTTTATTAATAGCTTAAGTAAATAATACCTTATCTAGTATATTAACTTCTAGTTAAGCTATAGTATTAAAGCATTCCTAATATTAGATAGCGTTATTTATAGCGCTAAAGCTAAAAAAGTTAGGTAAAAGAGCAGTATAATAATATAAGCCCTACTAATACAGAAATAACTAATAAATAATAAGGACTTAATATTAATAAAGGTGCCTAAATGCATATACTATAGCAAGATACACTATATAAAAGATAAATACTAGGACTTATATTTAGAGAAAAAATAATGCTAAGAGGACTGCTATAGCTATTAAGGATAACTAATGCTTATAAATATAAAATAAGTAAAAGATAATCTAGCTTTACTTATATTAAACTCTATTAAAGCAGAAACTGACTATTTTATAACCTTTTAAAAATGCCCTTTTAATACAGTCTTAATGCTATATAAATACTAGACTCTAGGTATAGTTAGTATATAACCTTATAGCAGGAATAATTTATCCCTAAACCCCTTTAACTATATAAGGGTATCCTTAGCAGTATAGGAGATTTATAAGTTATAGTAAAAGGCATAGGCATAGTAGTCTAGAAATATATTAATAAAAACTAATTTATTATAATTACTCTTATAAAAGTTCTTTATACACCTACTCTTAGTTTAAACCTAGTATTAATAATACAGCTACTTAATCTAAGGGGGAGAATAGAGATAGCTTAAGGCAGCTAGATAATTAAGAAAAATAATATTAAAATTACAGCATAGCGCTTTAGAAATCTCTTTATCTTATAGACTGACTTACTTTTAATATAAGCCCTAGTCTTTTATATAATTAAAAGGATAAAAACCAGCCTCCTCCTGCTATAAGCACTTATATCCTACACAGTTAATCTATAACTGCAAGTATAATATAATTAAATAAGGCACCTTAATAGCAATAACCTTACTAGACTAAAGGATCTAGTTAACAGGATAAACACAGCTTAAGAGTACTATATCTGCAAACCCTATATATAAAGAAGGATAAGGGAAAAACCATACTAAAAATAACTGCAGTAAGAAGAGTATATTAGTAATATTATATATATTAACATCTGCAGTCCCTTTTACATTACTAGCTATAATAAAGAAAGATACTAGATTACCCTTATTAATAGCTATAGTAGGTTTAGTAAAAGCAAGGCAATTAAGGATAGATAAAGAGCTTAGCAGTTTATATAGTACTTTATTTAAGTCCTTAAAGGTAGAGAACCTTAAGGATAATGCTACTACACTATCTATATAGACAGGGCTAAGGAATTTAATAGTTATAAATTTAACTACTAGGCTGCTTAATAAGGCACTAGTCTTAAAACTTCCCTTATAAAGCAGCATTAGTCTAATAGTATTACTAAGAACTTTAATATTATAATATATAATAAGCTACTGCCTATAATGCTAAAGGGGAATATTCTAATACAGTACTAGTTAAAGATATTAAAAACAGTTAACTACTTATATAACCGCAGTCTATATAAAGCCCTAGACAAGACGCTATTTAAATATATCTTTAAACAGCAGCTTAATATCTTAAATATTAGAATAGTAAGGATAATAGCCTAGCATCTTATCCCTTAGGCATAAAGGAAGAAGCTAGATAATAAAGGAGTTAAGTGTATGCTGCTTAGATTTATTAATAACACTATATACAGACTCCTAATACCCTTAAGGAGGGTAATTAGCTCTTTAAATATGCATTTTAAATTAAATGCAGTTATAACTGCATTTATAATAAATATAAAAAGCATAAGAACTTAAACTAATAAGCCGACTATTATACTCCCTTATTTATTATCCTTATCTATAACCTTCCTTAAACTGCCTTTAGTCTTATCTAACTCCTTATCCTAGACTAATATTTATTTATTAGATACTTTAGGTAAAAAATAATATTATAAGACAAGCTCTACTATATTTATAATTAAAGCACTACTATTCTAGCCTGCACTATTAGTAATAAAATAAGTATAGTTTTAATAAGATATAGTCCTAAGACATCCTAAACTATAGTATTTACTAAAAAGTTAAGTCTTACTATTTAATATTCTTGCACTTACTGCTGCTATAGCAGAGTTATAGATAGAAGATATAGAACCTATAATATATAGAGAAGCAGAATGCAGCTTTTTTTAAAATAAATAGTAAGATAGCATAAAAGAAGAAATTTAAGCGCTATAAGATAATAACACCTAGGATCTAGTCTACCCTAACATTAGCATAAATATCTTATATAGAAAATAGGTATATAAACTTAAAAGGGGTCTAGATAATAAGGTTATTAAGTATAAGGCTTACTAGGTTATTAAAGGTTATAAGCAAGTCGCTAGTATTAACTATATAAAGACTTTTATATTAGTTATAAAGCTAATAACATATAAGGCTCTCTTTATAATAGCAGCTGCGCTAGATCTAGAAATTAAATAAATAGATATTAAAACAGCATTTCTTTATAAAAATGTTAAAGAAGATATATATATTAAATAACCTATAGGATTTATAGATAATATAGATAAGATTTATAAGCTAAGGAAAGCGTTATATAGTTTAAAACAGGCTTTAAGGGTCTAGTATAAAACACTAACTGTTTTTCTCCTTACACTTAGCTACTATGCTATATTTACTAATAGTAAGCTATATATAAAAGACAGCACCTTTATAGCTATATATATTAATAATCTCCTTACTATTAGGAAGGATAAGGAAAAGATTATAAGCCTAAAAGACAGTCTTTATTAACGCTTTTTAATAACTAACCTTAGACCTTATTACTATTATTTAGGGATTTAGATTTAATATAACTAAACAGCATAAATAATCATTCTTAACTAATAAGGCTATATTTAGAAGGTTCTTTATTAGTATAATATAACAGAATATATATTAACACTAACCTTAATAGTTAAAAAAAGACTAGAGAAAGCAGTAGCTAATTACTTAAGCTAACTAAAAAAAAAAAAAATATTAGTTAATAGTTAGATTCTTTATATACCTAATGCTAAGAATAAGACTAGACCTTGCTTATACTATATCTATAGTTAGCCGCTACTTTAGCAATCTAGATAATATATATAAGCAAGCAGTTAAATATATCCTTAAATACATACAGGGGATAAAAGAGCTATGCCTAGTGTGTTAAGGCAACTTGCAGCTATTATGCAGATATAGTAATTCTAACTAGGCTAGTGACCTAAATACCTGCAGATTAACCTTTAGCTATATATTTAATATAAGCAGTAAAAAAATCAGCTAGTTATTAAAAAGGCAGGCAATAACTGCTTTATTAAGCTATAAAGCTAAATATATAGCCTAAACTAATATAATTAAAGAGGCAATCTAGCTATAAAGACTCTTTATAGAATTACAGGCTAATCTCTAAAAGGAATAAATAGTAAAGTTATTACTATCTCTATTACTATCTCTAAATACAGTTATTATCTACTATAATAATTAAGGAGCTATTACACTTATAAAGAATCTAATAAATTATAAAGGCTTAAAGCATATTAAAATATAATACTATTTTATTTATAAGAAAGTTAAGAGTAAAAAGGTTAAACTTAACTATATCCCTATAGATAAGATAGTAGCAGATAGTTTAATAAAGCCTTTAGGAAAAGACTAATTCTTAAAATTCTATAAAACCCTAGGCTTAAAGAGGATTACTAATAAAAAGACCATTTACTAGCAGTAATAGCTAATCTAGTAAGAGTATATTCTAGCCTAGTTAAGTAACACTCTATAATATTAGAACAGTAAGAGCAATTGCTTATTTTTACATTCCTTATATTATTAAGTAAGAGTGTTAAAAATAAGGGCACCTATATAAGAAGTACTAGTATAAGAGGTTATAGAGGTTTAGCTATCTATAAAGCATAAGTAAGAGCAATAGTCCTGCCTAGATATGTCAAGATTAGTAGAGACAATACAAGCCATTTAACACATATTTCAACAACTTTAAGATGTTTAAATACCTCTAGCTGCTTAATAAATTAAAGAGGGATTATGTTAATTATAGACTAAATAGAATTTAATTTCTAGTGCCTTTTTTTAATTATTAATAGACTATTTATCTATATACTTATAAAGCAGGTATCTGTTAATTATATAAGATTAGGTTAGGTAAATATAGCATTAGATTTAAAGTGTATATTTAATAAGCTAATAACCCTTCTGCTAGATATTAAAAAATAATAAATACTATTATTAATAAAGCCTAAGAGGGTGTATTTAATTCTTTTTTTATTAAGCTTTTTTTACTATGCTTATAAAATAAAGTACTAGGCTGCTATACTTATTATTTTAATATTTAAGATATTAGGTTATTACTTAAAGATAAACTTAAATAGCATTTTATTTAAGGCCTTATATAAGCTTTAATTTTAAAAATAGTTAATAGTCTTTAATACTTTTAGCTAGTATTATTTTAATATCTCTTTACTTATAAGCATAAGCAGCAGCTTATTATAAATTATAATATTAAAGTTCTTTATAATCTTATTTACTTAGTATTACTTTATAAGTAATGTCTTTATTATAATTTCTTATTATATAGCCTAGTAGTTAAGTTTATAACTACTAAATTCCTTTACCTTATTAAGGTAAACTATATAATAATAGCATTCTTATAGTTTCTTATTCTTTAAGAACTAAATAAAAAACTATATAAACTCTTAATCACTTTATCTATTTTTAATAGCCTTATTCTTACTAAATCTGCTATATTTATTAATAAAGGTAATTTAGTATTATTTTTTATTAAACCTTATAATATAAAATAGTCTATAAATATTAATATAAACTATATTTATAATATATTCTCCTTTTCTTAGCTATTCTTAATATAGTTTCTCCTTTATTTAACCTTAAAGGCAGGGTTTATATAAATAATATTCTTATATTATATTTATTTTATTTACTATATCCTTTAGCCTAGTAAGGTTATTATTACTAAAGTAGCCTATTTAATTATACTAAAGTTAAAGCCTTAGGTTAATAGTATATAATATAAAGGCTTATATAAAAAGGGTATTAGTCTAAAAGATAAAAAGCTTTTTAAAATGCCTTATTATAATTTTAATCTTACCTTTTTTAATTATCTAGCTTTTTTAAAATATATATATCTCCCCCTTTAGATTAAAAAGCTAGGTTATTAAGATTAAGTTTAGTTTAAGAGTAAGTATATATAAAATATTTATAAATATAATAGTAATTAATATATTTTAATTTATATATTATTAAATAACTATACCTATACCTTTTACTATAATCTTAAAGTCTTTAATACTATTAAGTATACTATTATAAAAATAAAGGGTTTTTAAAGTAAATTCCTTTTTATAGTATATAGTATGTTATTTATAACCTAAATCTAGTACTTATATAGCCTTAAGGCTATACTAAAACATCCTAGAAGGATATATAGTAGTTATTATTATTAAATCTTACTGTTTTTAATAAAAGGAGGGTAGTGTTTTTTTTACTAAATAATATAAGGATTTTAATTATCTTTAGGTTAAGATATTAGGTCTGCTACTGCTTTTTATTATCTTAATATCTTTTCTTTTTTAAGTATAATTCCTAGTATATATCTTTTATATAATATATCTTATTATAGTAAGTATACTATAAGACCTTTATTATTATTAAGTCTTCTTTATTTATTAATACTATATGTTTTTATATTAGTAAAGCTTATATGCTTATTATACTGCTTTTCTGCCTAACCTTTTTAACTTTAGTACTTTAAATAATGCTATTTAATATTAAGAAGATATTAAAGTTATAATTTATTTAAAAGTTTATATATTATACTAGGTATTAATTACTTAGCCTATTAATAAATTTAAGTATTAAATAACTATTTAAAAGCTTATATTAACTTTTAGCCTATAAGAACTTCTTTTAAATAGTCTTAATTTTCTAAGTAAAGTCTTTTACTAAGTTTAAGGATATAAAGTTATAGTCTCCTTACTTTATATAAGCTGCTTAAAAGGCGCTAAAACTAGACTTTTAGAATTTTTTTTTTATATACTAAAAGACCCTTTAAATAGTGTTTTTTTTACTTATTATCTTACTTAATAAGATTAATAGTATTATCTTTAAGATTCTAATATATTATCTTTACTTACTTTTTTAAGCATTAAGCTAATCTATAAAGACCTTATCTTTAATATTATAAATACTTAGTAAGTCCTCTGCCTTTATAAGATTAATAATAAGCTTTAGCTATTATTCTTAAATAAAAAAGTCTTCTTGCTTTTTTAAGGTTAAAAGAGACTTTAAGCTAAATGCGCTAATTATAATTAGTTTAATCTCTAGTTTAGTTATACTTCTAGCTATAATGCTATTTTTTAAATTACTATATTATTAAGCTATATTATATATTAGTCTTAATCTTTAACTTAATAATAATAGTATATAGACTTTATATTTAAAGATATTAATATTACTTAGTAGTATAAGAATAGTAAATATCCTTTTATTTTTATAGTCTTTATTTATTTAACTAAGAGTTAGTTATTTAAATAAGTCTAAGGTATTATTAATATCCTTAACCTTATTTTCCTAGTCTCTTAAACCTTCTTAGCCTTTAAGGAGCTATAAGAGAGACTAATATATATTAAGGCTAGTAATTAGGTTATTTAATAATAGTAATCTTATTTATCTTAGTTAATAAATAACTCTTATCTTATTTAGGTTAGTTAGTAGGTGTTTATTTACTATAACTTTATTATATAGTAATTTCTACTTAAGACTTATAAGAGTAATAAGATTAATAGTAGGTAGAAGAGAGATATAGGTATTTAGTAATATTAAGTAAAAGCCAGGCTTATAACCTATTAAAATATATATTAATTATCTTACTTATCCTCTTATAGCTAAATAGGATTATAGCTTTTATTTATATTTATAACTAGATTAACCCCCTGCTAGCCTATATATTAATACTTCTTATATTAGTGCCCCTTTTTCTAATATTTATTAATAAACTTTAAGATTAAATTAATTATTTAAAAGCTTATACTAACTCCTTACTTATAAGAACTTCTCTTAAATAGTCTTAATCCTTTAAGTAAAGTCTTTAATAAAGTCTATAGTTATTAAGCTATATTTTTCTTATTTTTTATATACTATTTATAGTATACTAAGTCTAGACTTTTAAAATTCCTCTTTTACTTACTAAAATACTTATTAGACTGTTTTTTCTTTATTTATTATCTTACTTAGTAAGATTAAGAGTGTTATTTTTAAAATGCTAATATATTATTACTACTTACTCCTTTATGCCTTTAATTAGCTAGCTAGTACTTTATCTTTAATATTATAAAAGCTTAAGAGGTTATTAGCTTTTATTAAATTAATAACTAGCTTTAGCTAGTATTCTTAATAAGATATTCTTTTTATTTTTCTAATATTAAAAGTAATTTTAGGCTTAGTATATTAACTATAATAAGTTTAATTTCTAGGCTTATTATATCTCTTACTATAATACTATCCTTAAGGTTATTATATTACTATACTATATTATATATTAGTCTTTAATTAGCTTAAGGAAGTAAAGTATAAACTTTATAGCTAAATATATTTATATTACTTAAAGGAGATAGAATAAAGGATATTCTTTTATCTTTATTTTTATAACTTTTATTTATTTAGCTAGGGTTTATTAGCCTTACTATATTTAAATTAAAGTCTATTTTATTTTTATTTTTATCTTCTTAGGTTTTTTAGCCTTTTTAGCTATTTTATAAAAGCTATAGAAATAGGCAGTAAGTCTTTAAAGTCTTTAAAGCTGCTATTAAGTTATTTAAAAAGGGCAATCTTAACTGTTTTAGTTAATAAGTAACTCTTATTTAATCTAGGTTAGTTAATTAGCTTTCTTTAGCTATTATATGTTATATAGTAATCTCTGCTTAAGATATAGTAAGGCTAGTAAAATTAGTATTTAAATAATAAAGGAGTACTAATACTTAGTAATATTTAGTAAAAGCTAGGCTTATAACTTATTAAAATATTTATTAATTATCTTACTTATTTTACTTTTATTAAATAGTATATAGCTTTTACTTATACTTATAAATAAATTAACCCCCTTACTACTTATATATTAATACTTTTTATATTAATGCCCTTATT